GATTGCCAAGAAGAGACATTGGCACCTTCCTGGACATAATACCAGAAGACAAATATGCATTAATCCAAGCCGTTTTTTGCTGCTTTCTCAAATTTTACTTGACAGTATATAGTACTAATCCTTTCATTTCATATAGCATTTTCTACATCAGGAAGACATCTCAAAGCCAAGGTAGGGGAGAGGGAATCCTCCCACTCGGCTCTTGTTAATCCTGCAAGCCAAAGCCCGAATGGGTAGGGCGGTCTTAGCTGGATAAGCAGCAGGAAAGTTTGCCAGACAATGATATCAATGGCATGATATGCGGTTTTAGCTGGTCAGACTCCAGCAGTTACCCCAATGCAGACTCTGGGGTCCCCAAGCCTTGGCTCTTGCCAACCTGCACCTAATACTTTTACGGAATTAGGTAAACAGGATGTGTCCCTCCAGGGAGAGAGTGTGCATTCCATTCCAACAATCTCTCTGGAATTTCCATGCGTAGATGGACTGCATGGAATTCTCAGGTTTGGAGTCTCTTAAGCACGGTGATGAGTTTCCGCAAGTGTCAGGCACCCGCTGAGCAAAAACAATTTACAGAATTAATATTCTATTCAAAAGAAATGCGATATGTTTTGGAAAGCGCAATAGCAATAGTTGTGAAACCGTTCTCAAAGTTTTACCATACCAGGTTTACAGAAGATGTTTGCATTACGGACAGATTCCATATAATTGATTTGTTATCCTGTTAGACAGAGATACGAGTGTGGTTCATACTAATATCCTCTGATTAATACGTGCAGGTGTCCATTTTTCCAAACTCCGAGCTGACAAGCTATTGTGAGCTGACAGGGTTAATGTGTAAAGTGCATATATCATCCTCTAATATTTACTGTGTGCAAAACTGTGTTTTGCAGTGTCCAGTCTGGCATTTAAAAAATAACACACTTTGTCTGGATTTATAGAGATTAGTGAAATGGCAGAGTGCTTACCAAGGCCAGTGTTGTTCCTATCGGTTGTTGCTCTAAGATTCATTAAGATAACCTCCGTCTAATATAACTGAACCCTCGAGGGGGAAGAGAATAATCGAGACTTGCAAATGAGAATTCCTTTTCAGATCATCATTTTCTTTCTACAGCTATGAAAATAGAAACTTAACAACTGAAAAGAGTCTCTGTCAGGTAGGGGCTAGAATGGGATCTAAATTATTCGAACAAACTCTTCTTTAGTTATTGTGGAGTCTCATAGTGGGTAGCGCACTCACCAGCGATTCCTGGGTGAAGCGAAACCGTGGAGTTTCCTCTGTCAAGTGCTCTGAGACGCTGCCTGGTGTGGAGGGCACTGTATAAATCTAAGTTGTTGTTGTTTACCTAATAGTAATTAGGAACCCAGTTGTTAGTTGATTGGCAGATCGCTTTCCAGGGTTAATAATCCCATATATTAAAAAAAATCACTCAATCCACGACTGTTTGTGGGACACTGCTATGCACAATTGGCTGCCGCATTTTGCCCACAAAATATACATCACAATATATTCTGTGAAGCGCTTTGAGACATCTCAACAACGTGATAAGGTGCTATATCAAATGCAAGGATTATTATTATTATAACCTGTTGAAGAGCTGCTTTGTGTGTTTAAAATGTGGACCTTCTCGCTCCAGCCATTGCTGGCCAATCATCATACAAAGGGCATTCAAATTGCAGCAGTTGTGGTAAAAGGAAAGATTCCTTGTGGCTAAAAAGCCCAAATATTTTTCAGTATTAACTTTTTTTTACTCTTTATGTGCTGTCCTCCTGGGCTGACTGATTTTGGAGTTCAATTCTGGAGTCACTGGCAATCTCTATAGTTTTTTTATATACCTTCAAACAGCCTGCCTAAGTTGATAGCGCTCTCACCTCATGAGTCAGGAAGTTGTGAATTCAAGACCATTTTATGAACTTTAAACTCACTTAATCTAGGGCTGATACTCTGGTATAGTGCTCGTGGAGTGCTGTATTGGTTGGTTTCACATATTCAGATGATAGATTAAACCAAAGTCCTGTCTGTCTATTAAAGATTCCATGGCACTATTTGTGAATGTGAACAAATCCTTTTGCACGTTCTCTGAAGACTGTTGGGTTGTGTTATTTATTGATTCCACCCCCCCATCCCCGAACTTCCTCATCGGTCTCTCCAGCCAATTGTGCATTTTTCCCAGGAAGTTGCAGCCAATTTGTTTCCCTGATTAAACTATGCTGTGTAAAAACTCCACCTCTTCATTCAGTCCTGATTAAAAGCACATGTATTATACAGTTTTCAGACCATTGTTCCAGTTCCAAAATGTTTGTGTGTTTGTATTTTTGTGTTCACGCCTACCACCCAGTCAGCCCTGAAACTGAAAAAACTTTGAAGTTGTTTATTTTAGTACGATTTTGCTAGACCATAAACTTGGAGAAATTCACTTTAGCCATTTTAGATTTAAACATCCAGTGAATTACAGTTCCTTGTTCAGAAGGGAAGGCCAGGGACTCAATGCTCTTTAATGTTCTTAAACATATTTGTTTAGGCCCCTATCTGAGTTTCTTTCCCCCGACATTGTGGCTTGTCAGAGGGCAAGAGCTTAATATAGAATTATACAGCGCAGAAGGAGGCCATTTGACCCATCGTGTCTGTGCCGGTATGGAGACTGAAACTTTGATACTTCCTGTTCCCCACCATCCTTGATGCCCTTTCTCACCCAATATTTAAGATATATAATATTACAGAGGAAATGATAATAATAATCCATGCATTTGATATAGCGACTTATTACATCGTAGAGACGTCTCAAAGCGCTTCACAGAATATATTGTAAAGTGGGTTGATTGTAGTTTGTGGGCTTTGATATAATCTTATATAAATTATGCAAAAATGGGGGAGAATGGACGAGAATCAAGAGACATAGAAGAGGGGAATATGAGGGTTGGAAGCTCATTTTGGGGTCCTGTAGCTCAGTGGTTAGAGCACTCGCCTCGCAAACGAGACACCTGGGTTCAGTTCCCGCCAGAGCAAAATGTTGGGAAAGTTTCCTTACTCCACACGCCTCTCCTTACCTAACAGTAAGTAGGAACCCGGTTGTTAAGTCAATTGGTGGATCGCTTAATAATCCCTCAAAAAAAACCAACAATAATAATTTGGTCACTCAATCCACGACTGTTTGTGGAACATTGCTATGACCAATTGGCTGCCGTGTTTTGCCCACAAATATACCGTCAATTCACTTTACAGTATATTCTGTGAAGCGATTTTATGTCTAGAAGAAGTGAAAAGCACTATATCAAATGTAAGGATTATTATTATTATTAGATGTACAATAAACAGTGGCACGGTCTAGTTTGGCTCGTCACCATCGTGCACCCTGGTATTGATCTTTGTTTGTTGCCAATAATAATAAATAAATACATGAACACAAAGAGAACAAAACAGTGGCGAATAATTGTGATCCTGCCTGGTCTCTAATCCAAATGGAGAATCTAAGATATCTCTTTAACGAGTGTAAATTTAGTTTAAATCTGTGCTATGGCCCAAACACACACTGTTATCCAGGCCAAAACGTAGGCAAAGAACTAACTTTCTCAAGTGTCATTCCAATCATTCGTCATGAAAATGTGTCAAAGGTGACTCTAGTTGAGGTGATAGGTCTTGTCCTTCCTTCAATACATAGAGCACAGTGAGATTTTGCTGAATGTAAATCAGTCTCAGTTACAGGAATTGCCATCGTGCTTTGTGAACTGCAAAGCCCATATTTGCCGTTATTCCGAGTGGTGCCTGCCACAGCCTTAATGAGTCAGTTTCCGGTCAAATGAACGACCACAAATGTGCCTTTGACCAGAATGATTTAGCTAGTGGTGTACTGGAAACTTTGGGACGCTAATATTTCCTGTTATTGAATAGAATTGCTACTGAGTAATTAAACCATGTTTAATTGAGGAACTACGTTGGAGGGCCACAAATGCAACCAGTGGAGACGTTAACTAAAAAGTAATGATTGGATATCAACTATTTAAGCTGTAAAAGTCTGTGATAATAATAAAAATCCTTGCATTGATACAGCGCCTTATCGCTTTGTTGAGACGTCTCAAAGTACTTCACAGAATATATTGTAAAGTGAATTGACTGTATATTTTGTGGGCAAGATGCAGCGGCCAATTGCGCGCAGCAGTGTCCCACAATCATTCGTGGATTCAGTGACCAAATTATTATTTTTTATTTGAAGGGATTATTACTCCCAGAAAAACAATCCGCCAATCAACTAAAATCCAGGTTTCTACTTACTGCTGGGTAAACAGAGTTGTATGGAGTAAGGAAACTTGCCTAAAGTTTTGCCCTGTCGAGAATCAAACCCGAGTCCTCTCGCTTGTGAAGCAAGTGTTCTAACCACTGTGCTACAGGATTCCACCACTGTAGAGGGTAGGTGGAGGGGAAAATTGGAAAGCAGTAAGTGACTTGTCACTAGGAATGAATCTTCACCTGCTGTGTGGATAGATGGAGCAGGTATTGGTCCATAGGACACTAGAGCTTTCAGCTTGCTGTACAGACATAGATTTTCCCTAATATTTGTTTTCAATAGGCATCGGGTTAAACTTGTTGAGAATTGTGTGCTTGTTGCAATGTTCACCAAATAAGGAACTCCATCTTGTTGTCACTTTATTTATTTTCTTCCACAATTCAAGATAATTGGCAAAAAAAAACAGAGGGGAGATGAGAAGACATTTTATTTTACACCGCGAGTTGTTATTATCTAGAATGCACTGCCTGAAAGGGTGATGGAAATAATTCAATAATAACTTTCAAAAGGGCATTGGATACATGCTTGAAAAGGAAAAATTTGCAAGGCTATGGGAAAAGAGCAGGATAGTGGGACTATTTGGATAGCTCTTTCACAGAGCCGGCACAGGCACAATGGGCCGAATTGCTTCCTTTCTATGCTGTAGGATTCTATGATAATTTTTGTAACCGAGCTAGAAATAAAGTCATGCTTGTTCAACTTCTCTCCAATCCCGGGTAGATGCTCAAATCGGAGACAGCAGCTGCAGCGGTCAGGAAGATGAATCCTAACCTGCAAGTCATTGCCCACCAGAACCGGGTTGGACCAGAGACTGAAAGCATCTACAATGAGGATTTCTATCAGGATCTGGATGGAGTGGTCAATGCACTGGACAATGTAGAAGCTCGTAAGTGATTTGAGAATTCACTGGTCTCCAGGTTAACTTTGTGCCAAAGAGGGTGGTAAGCCTGCATTATAACAGACTCTGAGCGAATGTCTCAAAGCACTTCACAGAGTATACTGTAAAGTGAATTGACTGTATACTTGTGGGCGAAAAAATTTACTATGGGTTACGAGTATGAAACAAACACATATTGTATCTTATTAGTTTTGGTGTGGGAAAGAGAGGTAGGGTGAAGGGGGAATGAGTCATTGAATTGTACCTAGGTCCTTGCAGTTTGATAGAACAACAAGGTGACCATAAGCACAGTCAAAAGGAAAGGTCTTGAAGTAGGGCCAGGAGTAGTAGGGCAGAGGATTGAGGTTTGAGAATTCCAGAGTTTCAGGGCGTAGTGGCTGAAAGCATAGCTACTGATGGTGGCGTGGAGGGAATGAAGGACATGTAGAAAGTTGGAGCCAGCTGAGTGAAGGGAGTGGGTAGTGGAGTGAGGTGGAAGTACATCAGAGAGTTGGGAAGTGTTAGGGCATAAATTGATTCGTAAGTATGAGGATCCTGAAGTCGATTTCTTCTGTAATAGGCAGCCAGTGGAACTTGGCAAGGACTTGTGGTGATGGGAGTTTGGTGCAAGTCAGAATACACTGACGGCAGAGCTGCATTGGTTGGATTTTGTGGATAGTGGAGCTGGGGAGTTCAGCAAGGAGAGCATTGGAAAAATTGAGGCGAGAGATGACATATGTATGAATAAGGGTTTCAGCTCTTGGGTGTGAGGTATGGTCAGAGGTGAGCAATGTGGCGGAATTTGAGGAAAGTAGTCCTGGTCAGGCACTGGATGTGTATAGGAAGAAAAGTTGGTAATCGAACCTGATACCTAGGTTAGACACGGGTTCATTGAGTCTGAGGGGTAGGCTGGGGAGGCTTAAGAAGTTGGAGACACAGGTGAGAAGATGTTAACGGGAGCCAAGGAGGATGGACATCTTGTGAACATTCAGCTGGAGAAAGTTGAGTGTGGGAGGAAAAAGACCTCAGGGAGGTAGTGGACCCAGGCATGAGGTCAGCACCTTGGGACGTCGTCCTGACGTGAGAAGTGCTGTACAAGTGTAATTTGTTGTTGTTCGTTTGCTACCAGCTGAATGTGGAGCTGAGTAGCCGCTAGCCACTAGTAACCTGGAAATATCAGTTGAATATGGATTAAGCCAGGCAGTGAAGATAAGGAAATGTCTTCCAAGAATTCACAAAGCCAGAATTAAAGGAAACCAATTTGGAAAGATAATTATAAGAAAGGATGACTTTTTCCCCCAGAGTCATGATAGTAGCACTTGAATGCCCTTCATTCAAAGGCCCCACATCCTCTCGAGGATGTTAGCTTGTATTAAACCTATTTAAGATGATTCAGGGGTGTTGCATGTCACAAGACTGTAAAGCAAGAAACCGATCTCTCACATGTATCTGAATTCCACACGCTCCATCCTTAACCCAACCGATTTGCTTTGCATTTAAATAGTAATAATTTAAGAAAAAGAATAATTCCCAGAGTATTTCATTTAGGAAAATGTGAAGCTCCAGCGCATGCCTCTGTGAATGACTTTATTTACTGGGAGTAAAGCAGATGCATAAATGTGACCTGATGAATTATTACTCTAAAAGCAAATAGTAGGTGCTGTTTTTCTGTGGAAACCCAATAGGGCTGCAGTTCACATCAATGGCTATACAGTTTTAATTGTATATTCAATCACAAGTGATCATTGTCAATTTTAAACCAAAGGAAATTCGTTAAACGTGCAGAGAATAATTTAGGGTCATCAGTCAAAGCAGCAATTACATTTATTGGCTTCAGATGGTAAACAAGGGCTCTGAGCCGCTATCATGTGTGAGGTGCACTATATAAAGGCAAGTTGTTGTAGTAAACAGTTTGATCTTTAACATTGCAGCTTGTGATACAATCTGAATTCCAGCCTTATAACACACTGTCTGTTTATATTTGACATTAAATTAAAAGTCAGGTTTGTGAGGATTCTAGGAGTAGGAGAGAGATATGAAAGTACGTTTGCCTACACGTTACAATAAATTATGTCAAGCATTTTGAGATATCCCCCTGTCTTGAAGGGAGCTCAGTATATTGAAAGCAAGGATTATTGTAGAAATAATATATTTTTATGCTTCCAGGTCGATATGTGGACAGCCGCTGTGTCTCGTACAGAAAACCGTTGCTGGAGTCGGGTACCCTCGGCACTAAAGGACATACTCAGGTCATCATCCCTGACCTTACTGAAAGCTACGGGTCCACCCCAGATCCTCCAGAAAAATCGATCGCCATCTGTACAGTGAAGAATTTTCCCATCGCTATTGAGCACACTCTGCAGGTAATGCTCAATCTATTTTTGGAAGTGGAGCCAAGAGAAAACAAATGTTAAATTAGCTATAGTTCTTTTGTTTTAATACTCTAGTGATTTGGCGGCATTCTGTGTGTGTGTGTATTTGCGCGTTATTATAATAATAATCCTTGTATTTGATGTAGCACTTTATCACCCCGTTGAGACTTCGCAAAGCGCTTCACAGAATATACTGTAAAGTGAATTGCCTATATGTTTTATGGGCAAAATGCGGCAGCCAATTGTGCTCAGCAGCATCTCACAAACAGTCGTGGATTATAGATCTGATGTAGGATACACAGTACCAAAACAGGTACTTTTGGCTCAACTAGTCTGTGCCAGTTTTTATACTCCACGTGATTTTCCACTGCTTCCTATTCCTATTCCCATTTCCTATTCCCATTTTCTTCCTATTCCCTTTCTGTATGTCATTCTAAGTATCTGATTTCACCCTGACTTTGTCACATTGCTGTTTGTTTAGATGATTCTGAGCAGCCAGACTGCCACGCACTGACGCCTGTTTTTCTTTCAAATAATTCAGACCGTTAATAATTAAGGATGATGAGAATTCTGCTGTGATTACTGTAGGCTGCGCTTATTTGAATAAGTCAGATTTTAATTTTCAAAAATTTATCATCTGAATAAAATCTGTTTCATGGTTATCTCAGATTGTTGTTGTGGGACATTGAGGATTCCTGTAGTTTAGTGGTTAGAGCACTCGCCTCTCAAACGACAGACCTGGGTTCAAATCCCGGCAGGGCAAAATGTTGGGCAAGTTTCCTTACTCTACACCTCTCTGTCTATCTAGCAGTAAGTAGGAACCCGGTTGTTAGTTGACTGGTGGATCACTTTTCCGGAGGTAATAATTCCTTCAAAAAAAAAATAATAAATTGGTCACTTCAATCCATGACTGTTTGTGGGACACTGCTGTGCGAAATTGGCTGTCACGTTTCTCCCACAAAATATTCAATCAATTCCCTTTACAGTGTATTCCGTGAAGCGCATTGAGACGTCTCGAACATGTGATAAGACACTATATCAAATGCAAGGATTATTATTACTATTGCTGCTTCCATCTACCCCTCTCCCTCTCAATTCCTCTCTATTTTTAAATCCCACCTAAAAACTTATCTCAATTGCACTCACTATCACCTTCTACCTTGTAAAGAACTCCAATATCCTATGAGAAACGTGCAAGTTGTTGCAATGCATTTGCCCATCTTTTCTCCATAACTCTTAATACCTTTATTTCCAGGTATGTAAAACAACTAGATTGATTCTGAATCTGTGGTTGTGTCGCACTGATGCACCTCAAAATACTTCACACAATATTTATTTTTGTAGATGAAATACTTTTGTAGATAAATTACTTTAAAGCAAATGTTTTTTGGGAGTCAGCCAGGTGTCTAACACATGCGGAAACCCACCACCATGCTTAAGAGCATCCAAACCAAACTGAGAATTCCATACATCCCACCTACACATAGAAATTGTAGAGATAGATTGTTGGAATCGAAAGTGCACTCTCTCCCTGGAGGGACGTATTCTACTCATCTAATTCCGGAAAGCATAAGGCGCAGGTTGGCAGGGGTCAAGGCAGGAGCCAAAGTGTGTGTTGGGGTAACTGCTGGAGTCTAACTAGCTAAAGCCGCTTGCCATTGATAGCACTGTTTGGCAAGCTTTCCTACTGCTTGTCCAGCTAGGACCATCCTACCCTTTAGGGCTTTGACTTGCAGGATTAACAGGAGCGGTGCAGAAGGATTCCCTGTCCCTGGTGATGGTCTGCCCTTCCAAGTCCTGCCGCTGAGCCAGGCTGTGCTGTCATCAGCAGTGCCCTGGAATACTACGGACCCGCCTGCCTCAAGAACCTGACTAGAGAATGCCACAGAGGACTGCCTCTGATATTCTGATATTCCATTGCCAGACCTTGGAGCCAGTTCAGCCGCAAGGAGATACCGCTTACTTCACCCAATATAACAACAAGAAATTACAATATAAGTTGTACAAATTCTGTGAGTTGCTTGTTTACATTTAGAGGAGATAATCTACACAAACACTGTTTGATAAAGTGAATGCTTCGGTACTTATTGATGCAACTCTCACCTTGCAATGGACACAGACAGAGTAATCTGTACTGTGTGTTCAGATTGACTCATGAGTCTATAATTGTGAAGTAAGCAGTTCTGTGAGTAGCAGTTTGTCCCCAAGAGAATGGAAGGTTCTACACAATTGAAACCTCTGAACAGGCTTGGCACAGCTGTTCAAGCAGAATTTAAAATAGCTTTTAAAAGTGTATTAGACAAATATGTGAAAAGGGAAAATATGAAAGGGTACAGGGGTAAGGGAGAGGAGTGGGGTGAGACAGATAGCAATTACAGAGAGCTTTCACAGGCACAGTTAGCCTCACCCTCATAGTGTCACTGGAGTGTGAACATTGATTTTTCAGTGAAGCAAATAGCCATCTTCTAAGCTCTAAAAATGTGATTAAAAAAAGCAAGACAACAACTACAAAATTACATTTGTATAGCGCCTTTCATGTCGGGAGGACGTCCCAAGGCGTTGGACAGACAGAGTTACGGATAAGACAAATCCATAGGAAAATTTTGCAGCACAATAGAAGTTTATTTGACGCATCTTGCCCCAGTCAAATGTCTATTCCAGAGTCACTGTATGGACTGGCATAAAGCCTTGAGAACTGAGCCAAGTGCCAGAGAGCAAATCGATGCCCGTTCTCCAGCAACAATCAGCACCTCCAGGAGAGGTGACAAGGGAGAAGAGAACCATGTAGGAGCTAGTATCAAACCTGTCTTCAACAACCACTTAGGACTGGGACAAAGCAGCCTTTATATAAAGGGTGGCCTCTGAGTAAGAGTTCATTTGTGTGCGAACCGGACTGTTCCAAGATGGTTGTTAACAGAGGGTGGTTGCTCGAACAGGTTTGACTGTACTTTTCCTTAAAACCACCTTCTATTAAACAATGTATCCTTTCACACATGGCCCGTTAGCATGACGTTACTCTCTGTGCGGCCTATTTAAAGGGAGGCTTTGTCCAGTTAAAGTGTCCTTCGAGCTCTTCAGAATTGAAGGGAAAAGTAATGATGCATCAGATGTGTTAGTTTAACAATTAATCGTCTCCACTCTTAGTATTTTTACACAAAACCACATTGCAGTAGATATGAATCTATCTCTGCCATTTGCTAACCATATCATTGTTAATGCATAACTGCTGGTTTTAGCAATCAATTAGTGGGTGACAGACCAGATAGTCTGCCTTCTGCAGAGCTAACTTGCCACATCCACAGGACCCCAAGTTTGCCCCCAAACCTAATTGGGCCAACACTGCCCCTTTTTGTCGGTTCATTCCTAGCAGTTTCTAAACCAACACGCATTTTTTCCATTTCAAACAGGTTTTGAAGCCAAAGAAATTGATACATTCCTCAGGCTGTGTGAAAGCCGATAGTTTCAGGAGTTGAATGTTCATTTCTGGACTGGAGCAGATGGTGTTGGAATGCACTGGTCTAGTGTGGAGCGCAAAATATATATATACCATGATGCTGGAATGAATAACATGGCTTGTTTAATGTTTTTAAGTTGGCCGTGTGTTTTGTGGACTGGAATTTTAACCCTTTCGATATTGGCGTTTGTGCTGATGAACCATTGTGAGGTGAATGTTTTCTCTGCGGGGTTTGAAATTGGATTTGCTGAATGAATGGCCTGATCCTGTATGAACTTTTTTTTCTACCTTCTACAGCAATGCTTCCCGTCCAGTTGATCCTCTCTCCCATCCTTTTCTGCAATTGCTAAGTTCCTGAGCTGATCCTGTAGAAGAAGCTCAAGGAAAATAACTCCAAGTGCACATTGTAAAAGCACAGCATATGAGAGAGGAACATTTTCTCAAATGTTCAGGGTGTCCACAAAATCCATTTTTTTTTCTACAGTGCATTAACCAACAACTGAAAAGATGATTGTATTTAGAAGTACTTCATTGCATTCAGAAGTGTTTAACTGTATTTAGATGTTCAGAGGGTCGATGTGAGTGAGCGCCATCATTTTTGTGGCAGATAATGATCTGTCACCATGTTGGGTGCAAGATCTTCCATAACGTGAATAGAGCGATGAGGAGAAATGCATCTCCGACGCTTGTTTCAGCTCCTCCGTAGTGCCATGTTGTGTTTTGTAACAGGGAGTAAGTGGACTTTGTGAACACCATATACTACTGGTGATTTTGTCAGGTATTGCGCTGTTTAACTCAGCCTAGCAAAGCGTCCCCCAAAACACCATCAAATCTGATGCTTCACATTATATTTGTTAGTGAATTTCTATTTCTGTCTCTGGATCACAAGGGGATTACAAATCCTCCAGATAAAATTCTGCATTCACTTAGTAGCTTTTTGTGCGAGATTGCTGTGTGCAAAATGGCTTCTACATTTGCCTTCAATTACATAGTCACCACATTTCACAGTGAAAAATAATCCTGTGAAGCACTTTGTCATTCCGACAACGCCATAACATACTTTACCTTAAAAGCAAGATAACAGTTTAAGATAAATACAAGAATTATCATTATCACAACGGAGTCTGACTTTAGCTTGTCTACAAAATAGTCTCTCCCCTTATAATCTTATGAAAGGCTTTGAGACGACCTCCCAAAGTGAAAGGCCCTGTATTAAATGTGAGGATTATTCTCATCATATTTAATCTGCTATCACCATGCATCCACATGTAGGAATCCTGCTTTGATTCCCCCCACCAACCCCTCCCCCCTTAAGAGAGCAGTTGAACTCTTTCTAAAATATATTTTAAAAATCTGATCAACTCTTCTCTTCCCACACAGTCCTTATGTAAGCCTGATTTTCTGGGATTGTTTCATTCTGAGCATTATAAATTACAGTGTAATTTAGTTTCCTTCACTGTGTAAAACCTAGATACTATTATGATAGCATCAGCGCCTTGGGACATCCTACCGATGTGAAAGTGGCTTTCCAAATGTA